CCCCGTCCTGGGCTGGCAGGATGATTTTTCTCCACCTCGGCTTGGCTCGCGGCCTGGGGACTGCGATTGTGGGCGGAGAGCTACCACCTGCTGGGGACCAGACTCCCCTGTACGGTCAGCTGCTTCCTCTTCCTCCCGCTCTCCAGCGAGGGGGTGCAGTCTGTCCAGTCGCCGGAGCCCCAAGTGAACCTCCCTCAGCAGGTGGGTGCTGCTGTCTCCTGCTCCTTCCTTCCTCTTATTCGTTCTCCAGCAGAGCAGCCTCCTCCCTTTCACCCTCCTGGGGCGCGGGGGGGAATGCTCGGTGTGAAACGTCTTGCCTCTTAACAGAGCTCAGGTACATAGTCCGCTTGCACCAATCACCTTCTCCGGAGGACCCGAAACGAGCCATGATAGGACGCGAGGCGGTGGGAGACAGCTGATTGGTGCCGAAGGGCTGCGTGCGTCTCACCCTCCCAGTTACTCACGGTGGCTTTCGGCAGAGCCTCAGGGCGTCGGCAGACGTGAGCGACCCTCCGGGCCAGGCTGACTAGTCTCTGAGCAGCCTCCCTCCCCGCCTTACTCAACCGATGACTCCGCCTTACATCACTGCGTCGTGTCTCGTGGCTTTCACGCTCCGTCTCTGTCCCGGAAAAGCCTCGCCCTGTCCTAGCTTCGCCCCTCCCAAGGCCAGTGCCTCAGTCAGCACCCTGCACATTCCGTTCTTCCAGATGAGGGCAGGCGTCACTCATCGGAGTGTGTGGGACTGGCAGGAAAACGGTAAGAAAATGCCTAAGCGGAAAGGAATACTTGGCCCTGATCACAACGTCTAGCGTTGACAGGACTTCAACCTAGCAGGGCTCTGCACCGTCCTGTAAGCGAATTACGCGGTGCCTGGAGACCTAGGGGTGTGAGATTCAGCCCGTAGGGAGTCTACACACAGCTCTGGCCAGCACTGCTCACCTGGAGCCCTGGCTCTGCCATACCCTGGCTGTTCAAGCTTCCACGTGCTACTTGAACTCTGCCTGTGTCCTCACCTGTAAAGTGGGGATGGCAGTAGTTATAAAGACTCGTGTGTAAAACAGTCACAGTGAAGCCGGGCGTGGTGGCGCACGCCTGTAATCCCAGCACTGGAGAGGCTGAGGGAGGAGGATCGCTGTGAGTTTGAGGCCAGCCTGGGCTACATAGTGAGTTCCAGGTCAGTCTCAAATACATAGTGAGACCCTGTCTCAAAAAAAAAACAAAAAACAAAAAACAGTCACAGTGCTGCCTAGCACACAACAAGCTCCGTAGAAGTGTTTGCTGTTCAGACTAGAAAGATAGTCACCCCCATGGAATGGAATGTTACTTTTAAGCAGGAACTGTGAATTTCCTTATTTGGAAGGCATCACCCCTCAATCACAATCCCTCAAGCTCCTCTCCTGCCTGTGGAACCATCTGTTGCAGAGGTTAGCAAGCTTTTTCTGTCATAGGTCAAATAGTAAATATTTCAGACTGTGCAGGCCACACAGTTTCTATCACAAACTCCCCAACTCTGCCATTGTAGTGCAAAAGCAGCCATAGACAATACCTAAATGAGAGAGGGAGGCTGTGTTCTAATAAAGCTTTACTTACAAAAACAGAGGGTGGGTATATTACCGTCCCATCACTGGAACAAAACACCCAAAACCTGAACTTGAGGAGGGGTTTAGTTAGCTCACAGTTTCCTGTGGGTTCAGTCCATGGTCTTGGCTCCAAGGCAGAAACAGTAGGGTGGGAGGACCTGGTGAAGGACAGTTGCTCATCCCATGGCAGCCAAGAAGCAGAACAAGAAAGAAAGAAAGAGCCAAGGCCAGGAACACACCCTTCCAGGTCACTGCAATTGCCAATCCAGTATTCATTCTGTCATAACACATTTTACAAAACCTCTGCTTCAATTCTGCTTCTAAGAAGCCTATCGAGATTCCTGCTGTGAGACTTTACTTTCTTCTGTCTGGATTTGAAAGCACCAGGCTTGGAGGGAACTTAGCACCTGAGAAGAATCTGGGTTTAGCTCCGGACTTGCTCATTGACACTGAGTAAAGCACTTAAGATCTCTGAGATCTCACTTTACCCATCTGCAAAATAGGTGTAAACTTTCTTGCCTTACTAACCTTTTAGGGTAGGTTGAAAATCAGAGAGACTGATACTCATGGATGTAACTTACAAACTTGAAAGCACTGCACCCTAGAAATAGGTCTTCCCAGGGTTCCTAGTGACTAGAACGGTGCTTGGCCCTTGGCCATTGTTGACTGAACCAAATCCCTAAGCTGGTATTAAGTACGGAATTTTGTTTTATCCATGTAAGTCCACGTCTATATGTGTACTGATCTCCTTGGGTAAATGGAGAACTCAAGAGACACTGTGCCCAGAGAGAGATAGGACAACTTTTCCTCAGGAAGATTCTGCAGAATTCTTGTCCACAGAAAATGTATGTTGGACTGCAATGAATGTGGATTGTCAGGACCCAAGTCAGGTGTCTCCAGGGCATATATGGTTAGAAATTTGGACTTGTTCCTGAGACTGATTTTTAAAACTAATCACAAGCATGCTGGTTTAAACCAACAATGACATGTTTGCTCACATTTCTGGGGGGCAGAAGTATGAAATGAAGGTGCTGGCATTGTTTTGTTCCTTCCAAAGGCTCCAGGGAAGACTGTTTCTTGCTTTCTCCAGCTGCTGGTGGTTGCTGGCATCTCTGGACTCGTAGCCACATCGTGCCCATTTTTGTCTCCATCGTGATATCATCATCTACTTTTCCCTGTGCCTCTTCCTCTTTGGTCTCTTATGGGGACACTTATCATTTGATTTAAGGGTCGTCTGGGTAACAGGATGATCTTATTTCAGGATCTTTACTGCAATAACATCTGCAAAGACCCCTTTTCACAGGTTCTGAGGATTTGAACACATACATATCTTACAGACATCAGTCTTCAACCCATTATAGTATCGTATAATTTTCACATTACTTCTAAGCTAAAATATTTCTTATGCCACTGAACAATCTTAGAAAAACATTACTTTTGATAGCTAATAATGTTCCATCTTGTGGATGTATCATAATAAGCTCAATTCACTTTCTTCTTGTTAGATGTTTCGATTGCTCATGATTTCCCACTCTTCTAAGTTGTTCATAGGCTTTGCAGTCAGATATTTTGAGAAGAAATTCTGACTCTGCCACTTACCAGGGATATGACCACATCTCCTCATGCCCAAACTATGAGCCAAATTAATCTGTTTTCTCATTTGTAAAGTGAAGATCACAATGCTTATCTCATGAGGTGACTCAGAGGGTCAGATCCAAGAATATATGAACAGTGACTGGTGGCAGGATTTTTGGCAATTTACATGTGTACAGTGCTTTGCAAATTGCAGCCACTCTTGTTTTATTAATCTCAGTGCCATCACAGCTCATTTCCTTGGATGGACTAGTAGAAGTGCTATTCCCAAATCAAGGTGTATATATAGTTTGAAGGTTCTTGATTTGTACTGTCAAGTTGTGTTCCATAAAAAGGATAGGCGGAGACATTCAACCTTGACCAATCCCACTTAGTAAGTAGTATCCCATTGGAGTCATAGCAGTAGCCACCTTCATCAATGGACAAGGATTTTATGAGTTATGGAACCAGGACTAGGCTTTGAAAAGCCTTATGTTTTACTTGGGCCAACCAACTCACACACATAAAATAAGACCCCAAAATGGAGTTCATTAAATCAGCACGTTTGTTGAACACCTTCTGTGTGCTGGCTACTGTCCTAGGTGATGAATCTCATCCAACAGCAAACAGAAATGGACTTTGTCCTCATGCAGCTTATAATCTTGGGTCAGGACTAAGCTGCAGCATTTTATTTCTGCAGCAGAATTCAGAGAACGTAGAGACCCATGGAGACCAGGTAGACGAGGAGACCTCAAGAAGAAAGAGGACCCAGAAGTGGAACTGAAAAAGGAGTGAGGACTAAGTGGCTGGGCACGGAGGTTTTCAACTCATGGCCTCAGATGGCTAATGAAGGGCAGGGAAAGGAAGAGGGCTGGCAGCTCCACTGTGGAAGCCCAGGACAGAGGCCTGGCAGAAGAAGTCGTATTTGTTTTGCTCTAGAAAACCAGAGGCTCACAGGCTTTCCTGAGCAGGGAAAGGCATCTGGGAAGAGTCGAAGGGCTGGATGGGCCACGTCTGGAGTCCGAATGCCAGCTGGGCTTCGGTTCTGCGGTGTGTGGAGCTATAAACCTCATTTTGTTTCATGGCAGCATAACTTAGTGGCTGAGCTTATGCTGCATGGCACATGGAGTCCCAGACTCCTGTGCTATGTCCTCCTCGTGCCCAACAGGGAGTCTCAGCTCTGAGCTTCCTTGAGTGGTTTCCATTGCCTTCTAGGGCCCTGAGGGTGACCAGATCCTAGTTATTTTGGTCCTGGGATTGTTAACCTGGTGTTTTGTTATTAACTTTCTGGGTCATAAGTGTCCCCAGGCCAGTGACTCTTCTAGAAATTTCTTCTGTTTCTCTGTGCTGTGTTCCCCATGGGATGGTGAGTATCTAATGATTAACCACTCTGCGCCCTCTTTGGTGATGAATATGTTACTTTGGGAGGATTTGGGGGGCCGAGGAAGGGACCTTCTCCCCAGTCCAGCCTGTTCCCATTAGTGGTGGCAAGAACTGGAGGGGGAAGGAAGTGGAGGATGCTGCAGGATAGGAGAGGTCCCATGTGTGCAGAGAATGCCCCTGTGAAGCCAGCCTGCAGGACAGTCCTGAGTCCCATGTACAGTTGGTGGAAGTGAGCAGGAGGCTCATTGGGAGTCTTCGCAGGCCGTAGACAGAGCCACTTCTCTGCTTTCCTCCACTTTCCCTGCTTTCCTGCACATTGGGCTCACAGTGTGTCCTACCAGGACAAGTCATAACTGTCTTGTAGAAGGACAAGAGCAAATCCAGTGAGGCCCCCACATGCTGCCCCACAGTCTGGGCTTCAGGGCCTCCCTGCACTAAAGAAGCTAACTCCCATCTGTCCTAAGCAGAAGGGCCTAGGTGAGTCAGAGTAAAAAGAGCTTGAGAGCCACCATCAGGGCTGGGCTCAGAGCAACCTCAGCACACCCACCTCCTGTCCCCAGACCAGGGTCCCCACTGCTTTGCCAGGCTTCTGAAAGCTGGTCTGTCCTTGCAGGTGATTTTCACCAATGCAGTATTACTGAGCACATCCTTCTTTTACCCCCAAACCAGCAAAATTTCCAAATAGGACAGAAAAAAATCAGTGAACCCACTTAAATATCACACAGAAATAATTCAGGCGAGTGTGGTAGCGCACACCTGTGATCCAAGCACTTGGAAGGCTAAAGAAGGAGGACCATGAATTCAAGGCCAGCCTTGGCTTCTAGTAAGATCCTGTCTGAATAATACATATAAATAAATAAAGTGAAATGGATTCATCGATATGTAATAAAAGCTCGGACTGAACTGAAGCTGTGGATACAATTGTAAGCAGGACACACTGGGCACCTTCCCTCCCTGAGCCCACATTGGGGGATGGGTGGGGGACGGGGGAAGGGGAGAGCAGACATCAGACGGTTCACAGAAAACTGCCCCAGTAATTATTACAAGACAGTTGAGGAAAAGGGGCCAAAAATAGTCACTGGCAGCCTCTTTACCTAATGGCACTGGGAAAACTGGGTATCCATGTAGAAACTGAAACTAGATCCCTGGCTCTCACTCTGAACAAATATCACTCCAAAAATGGATCAAAGGCCTAGGTTAAGGCCTGAAACTTAGAAACTG